AATCTCCACCGTGAATTACAGCCTGCGAAGTCAGCCCAGCCTGGTAAGCACCAAAGGTTAGGGAAACAGGAGTCAAACACCAAATACACTAAGCTCACCACTGACGGGTCTCAAGAGCAGTTCTGTGCCTCTGTCAGAAATGGCTTAAGCACAGTCAATCCCACCTTCAAGGCAAATAGCTGACCTCAAAAGGTATCTTCCAGTGTTGTGGGCTTTTTTGTGACCCGGAAGAAGTCAGCAAAGCTACTACATCTTTGCAAGATCAGGGCCTTGAGAATTATTTATAACTGCAGCTGCACTTACTGAGAAGTAATGGGATTTAATTAATACTATGGTACTTGCCTGTACTAAAACTCATCAGTATTATTTTTATAATATACATATTAGACATCTTCTTACACGTTAGATGCTGAAGCATGTTCTAGCATTCACTGTTTTATTACCCTTAGCCTGCCAAAATTCTTGAGGTTCTCCTAATTACTCTATCTTCTTTTAAGATACTACTACCACGAATTTCAAACTTTTGTCTCCAGTTTCTCTTAAATGTATATTCATACAGACACTATTTTTTCTGCCACTTAAACTATAGCTACAAAAACATTACACTGTCATAAGTGTGGGTTTAAAGCCAGAGAGGATACTTAAAATAATTAAAAAAAAAAAAAAAAAGTAGTAAACTATCCTGTTACCATCAATGGGAGACTTACACTTCTGAAGTAGGATCAAGTTTCCAGAGAAAAGACTTGGTGAAAGCTGATAGAAACAAAATTACTGTGGCTAAGTTTACAGAAAAAAAAACGTCCTCTGCAAATTAAGTCTGGAGCTCCTCCTGCTGTTCAATTTACAGAACAGCAGAAACGGTCAGTAACGACTGTAGAAGCAGAGTGAAAATAAAGGCAACCTGATAATGACAGCAAATGCCATTAAAACTCAGTAGTCCAAACGCATGTGAATAATCTACATTCTCCAGAAGTAAATATCCATCTCTTAAAACTAATTATGAGGAATCTAATGAAAGATTTGATATCTTAATCCTGTTCTAATATAGAATAAACATGTATTTAGAATATAAAATATATACATTTAAAATATACAACATACAGATATAAAACCGACACATTAAAAACATGTCATGAGTTTCAGTGTCATTTGAGACAAATTGATGTAGCTGGTCAAAAGCTGGAGAACTATACAAGAAGTAAAAGATACATCAGGATCACACTGTCTAGTGTTTGCTCACATTTCTGTTTGCAAATATGGTCGTACAGACCAAAAGAGGCATCAGTAAACCTTTTTCAATAGACAAAGACACTGTCCCATTTAATATTTCTCGCACCCCTTAGTGGTGCATGTGCAACATACGAGAACATTGCTAAGTTACTTAATCAAAAACTAAAGCCCTGTAGTCTCTTGCTTTATACCTAGGTTTGTAAAGATAATCTGCATGTTATGTACCTGACAATATCTAGGAAACTACAGTTCTGTATATCAGCTGGAGCCACAGTAACAACAGTACTCCAAAAGAAATATCCAAAAGCATGCATTTGTTTCCCTCTCAACAAAAAGCAAGAAAAAAAAAGAAATTCCTAACAATACAGAAATACACCACACAAACTACTACTGAGTCCCAAAACACTGCAGACAAAAATGTAAGCCATGTGCTGCACACAGCACTATTACAAATATGACCATGGCATTTCTGTAAAAGGCATAAAGCTAAAAGTAAATTTCTTCCCAAAAAAAGAGAAACCCTTGAAGAATAAAAGAATTAATCTACTAAACAAAGAATACCAAGAATGGGAGAAATGCATGACAGGTAAAAATATCTTGTTTGAAAACATACTTTGTCATTCCATGATGGAAAAAATGCGTAATAAAGTAGGACACAATAAGAAAGAATTAAATTCTTTATTTCTCTTATAAATAAATACAATGAAACATGGTGGAATTAAAAAAAAAAAAACAACAAAGTATAAATTATTTTCCCGGGGAAAAAAAAAACACAAAGGAAAAAAACATCACTTTTCCTTAGAGACATAACTTAATACTACAATTGGCTCAGTTAGAAAGACAGCAATAACACATACCCAAAAGTCAAACTCCCGTTGAACTGAACATACCATAGCATCCAGGGGGCATTCAAGAAAGGATGTGGTGAGAGGTACGTACAAATACTAGATAAAGGATAGTGGATTCACATTTACATAGATAATAAGTGGCAAACAGAACGTGTTTACGGCAGAGACATGACAAGGTATATTCCTGTCCTCTGGTTGTTGTATGAATACTCTCTGACTCCTGCCTAGTTTCAGTCATAGAGCACAACCACTGATGCATTGCACTGGAGAAGTGAGTTTTAACTTTTCAGGGCTGATTACCCATTACCCGGTAGCCTGTCAATTACCTACAATAAGGGAAGAATGAATGTAAAGCATTGGTAAGACACTGCCAGATCAAAAACTTTTCCCAAAGACAGACCACCATACAGAAAACAGGACAGTGAAAGACCTAAGCCCTTGCATTTAAGTGAAACACTGCTGCACACGATGGCATGGAAAACTACTTTTGCTTCCCTGTCTTGTAGATGCTTGTATACCTGCCAGAAAAAAGTACTCCTGCCCAACTTGGAGGAAGAAAAAGGTTGGGCCCCAATCTTGCACTGTGATCAGGGAAGCCCTACACACGTTCAGGATATTCTTCAAACTGATCCAGCTGCCAGACTTGGTGCCTAAATAAGTAAAAAATAACAAAGATAGATCACCAGTGTCTTGGTCTGTTTTACCTGCAGCTCTGCCTTCATAAAGTTACCATGCAATTCTTAAAGTAAAGTAACTTTACTGGGTCTTTAACAAAGCCCCACAAGGAAAGGAAATATTTTTCTTCCTAATGCCAAATTGAGCAGAATAATTTATTTGTGATCACCAGCAACTCAATTACAATATGGTTACCTTCGTAAGATGATCTACAAAGGAAAATAAGACAGTATCAGAAGACACACCTCCAGGAGGAGAAAGACACAAACACAGAGCTGTCTGCACCTAACACACTAACCCGTGGTGGGACATGCTAATTCTGAAAACAGGGAAAGCAGACTCTACAGGAAATGTAGAAAATAAATAGGATACATAGGCGATAAATTTCATCAACATTTGACGGTGATGTTAAGCACTATGTATCAGAATGTAATTCTTGCTGTTTTGAAGAATTACACAGAATCACACACAGAATCACTAAGGTTGGAAAGGACCTTCAGGATCATCAAGTCCAACTGTTAACACAACGCCACCATGCCCCCTAAACCATGTCCCAAAGCGCCACATCCACACGTTTTTTGAATACTTCCAGAGATGGTGACTCCACCACCTCCCTAGGCAGCCTGTTCCAATGCTTGACCACTCTCTCGGTGAAGAAATTTTTCCTAATATCCAATCTAAACCTCCCCTGGCGCAACTTGAGGCCATTTCCTCTCATCCTATCACTAGTTAGTTGGGAGAAGAGACCAACCCCCACCTCACCACAACCTCCTTTCAGGTAGTTGTAGAGAGTGATAAGGGCTCCCCTCAGCCCTCTCCAGACTGAACAACCCCAGATCCCTCAGCCGCTCCTCATAAGACTTGTGCTCCAGACCCCTCACCAGTTTCGTTGCCCTTCTCTGAACATGCTCAAGCACCTCAACATCCTTATTGTAGTGAGGGGGGACGCTATACAGGCAAGGTAAAGGAGATCTGTAAACTACAAGACAGTATCTTGAACAAGTATGACAGTGCTCTTCCAGACTGCTATTCACCACTGCTAAGATGGAGATAGATGGACCATGACTCTCCTCCAGTGTAACCACTACTTCGTTCCCACTTTCAGAGAAGTGTCTGCTACCTGTCCAGTTAAAAGCAGCCACTCCCAGGCTGTGCCACAAACAAGCAATCCACACATACACTGTGGAGTGCTGCATGCTCCAGCACCGACTACTGGGAGCAGACCCAGCAGCTGGACCTACCTCTCGCTCCCCTGCACGGCAAGTTTTGCACACCCAGGACATGAACGCTGCTGCACATACACGACTCAGTTCCCATCTGAGCATGCAGTAGCTTAAGGCAAGGCCAATATCAGAGCTGCTGCTCATAAAACTACTGCCTCAGTAATGAAGTACAAGAAAGTAGCAGAACAGCCAGGACAACTGCTGGCAATCCTTCCATGACACATGTATACTACCATAGCTTTCTGATCCAGAGTAAACTACTACTTCAATGAGATACATCCAGTCTAAGTTTGTTTAAAAAACAAAAAGCTACAAGTCTGGAGTGAAGGAATATTTTTCTTCCCCCTCTTGTGAGAGAAGCACAACTTTAAATTATCTTTTCCAACACAAACCTAAAAGGTCACAGCTGCTTATCTAATAAAGGCAACATGCAGGGCTCACGTCTTTCAGAGCTAGCATTTCATTATGTGCAAAGGTCTTGTGCACTATTTAGCTCTGCGTAAAGGATTTATTTCTCAGTCTTTGCACGAGAGATGAGAATGAATTTTATCCATAAACAGTGAAAATCTACTCAAGAAGTTGCTATTTCAAGTCTGTAGAAGGAGATGATAGGTCCACGTTCAGTAAGAGGTACAATACAGTTGAAATATGAAGAGGAGTTGGATTGTATTCAGTGATCAAAATTAATTTTTAAACATTACTGGAGCTCAGCTAAGAGCTAAAAGCAAAACAAGAATAAGGATTTTATAGTTGCTCTAGAACAGTTTAATCTTCTTATATCTTCAAAGAGGGCCAATACTTCCCCATAAAACAACAGAGGAGCCAAAAACTTCTACAGGCATTCCAGCAGTAACTAAGAAATGTTACAAACAACTGCCCCACAAGATACTCCTTATTTTTTCACATTGAAGTACATCTTCAAAGAAGGAAAGCTTGTTTACATTGAGGACTTTCTTTATCTTTATTGCAAGGAATGAAATAAAGACACTCATTTACATTACAATCATGAACATAAGGAGCTTACCTCTCAGCACGAAGGACGCCACTGTAGTAAGGGTGATCCCACGGCATCAGCTTCTGAAAGAGAATTCCAGCTTGTAATTACAGTAATGGACAACAAATGAACCCAAAGTAAAAGTTTTGTTTCTTTTGAGTATTTTTGCAGTTTTGACAAGTCACGGAACCTTAAAACATAATGGGAAACATTCAATGCTAAAAACATCATCAGAAATAGCATCATATATCACAACTTGAAAACTTTTTTTTTAATATTTGCTTGAAGATGGTACTTCTTATTCAAATATATAATGGGATTTCATACCAGAGTTCAGGAAATACAGTCAATTCAAATAAAAAGATAAACCTAGTTATGTACAGAATTAGGATACATACAATACAGCATGCAAACTGGACATGCATCTAGCCTGAACTACAGCCTTTATTTTTCAAATGAGTCTGTTAAGAGGAAGTAACATTCACTTTCATCACTTTATGTTTTGGTTATTTCAGTATCATTTTGTATAAACCAACAGCTACCTCTCACTCAATGCCTGGTTTTAATACAAATAGCAGCTAGGCAGTCAAAAAGCAGTTGAAGCCAGAAGACGAAGTTTCTCTTTCTAATTATACTACACTTTGTCAGCTAAGAGTTACTTTTTCTTGTAGAACAAGGTTAGCTTATATTTGTAAAAAGAAACAAAACAGAAAATGATGCATGAAAGTTTAACTTACTGAATTCTGGGGGTTGAGCTTCATTTTCATCTTTGTCATCATTTCAAAATCTTTTTGAGTTCTGAAAAATATTTTATGATGGAAGAGTTAATGAAAGATTTTTAACCAATGGAATACAGTATACAATAATACTCCATCCTAAGAAAATGCTCATTATCAGAGATTGATAGTACTCTAGAAAATGGCAGGTCCGTGTACTACGGTAAAAGAACCTTTCCATTCTGTTTTTGTCATTCAGGTACCTTCAAATTAAGTCCCTCTTACTCTGGTTGTACACCTCCAAAACTTTTCCTTTCTTACAATACACCCCATTTATACACAGTGATGAAAACTGTTTTGCGCTGTGTGGAACTAAGGGAGGCAAGAAGGACAAACAGGGGGATTTGCTTATACAGGTAAAATATATGGACTTGTGCATATGGGGAGAAGACCAGGAGAGGTGTGCTTCAACACTTAAACTTGGTCCTCCTGTTTGCTGCCACCTGCATTTCTTGGCACATCATTTGTTGCATTCAGTCCTAGGTGTTCTCCGATCATAGACACAGAATTTACTCTAAGCTGATAGCTCCCTTCAAAACTCTCAGAAAGTCTTGCTTTTTGTTTCATCAGAGCATGTGATAAGCAGCACCACCTGACTTATGAGTGCACAAGTTCCTCTATTCTTGAAATAAATAGTATGGTTTGAAAAATAACTTAGTGAAAAATACATACCTTTTAGACAACTGGTCAGAAAGCTTCTCCAGAAACTGTGTTACTGTCTCTAGAAGTAAAACGTCGGGGAGGAGGAATATTAAGAAAGTGATTTCTTCCCTTAAAAGATGTTAAGTTTACATCAAAATTTTCCAAAAAAACCAAGCTCTGTTAGAAACAAAGTTGTTTTTAGAACAAACTACTTCTTTGATCACTGTGCCATCATTTCAAGAGAATTCAGTACTACAGCTCTTTGTTACATTCTGGGATAATAGCAACTTCATAATCTAACAAGTGAGCACTGATTCAGAACAAAAACATGAGTTCCTGCTCAGTGAGTATTGCCATTTACAGAAAGCATGAGTACTGCATACAGCAAAATGTAACTGCAATAAGATACTTCACTGGAAGAAATATGTGTAAACTTAGCAAAAGAAACTAACAACTCTTGACCTCATACCTAACACAGTGCATTTGATTTCTCAGCACGTCCGTCCACACATGCCTTATACCTGGAGTTTTGGCCATTGTTCCCTGAAGAGCCCTGTGGGCAAAGGTGTCGTACCCAACCAACTGCGCCAGACTGTTTCGGCTAGCAAGCAATTCTTCTAAACGGCTCAACTGTTCAGCATTTGGGTAAAGAAAAATCTTGTAAGCAGCTTCTCGCACCTAATAAAAAAAATAAAAAGGTCACATTACTACAGTGCATTTTTTAAAGGAAACAAGTGATACCATTAAAGATCTTGCATTATCTCTATTTCACTGATATTTTGGGAGAAGGCCTAAAGTCTTTTAACAATAGTAATTATGATTGCCTGACAACTGCATCTCTCTCATCCATTAAAGATGGAATGAGGAAATGCAATGAGGCAACTTAACAGATCAAAACTGCCAAAAAGGGTCCTGTTCTCTACTCCAGTCAACAGTCCCCTCTCTGCTCATTGTGCCCCTCCTTCTGCCAATACCCCTGACAGGGTCCGGGGAAAGAAAAAAAAAAAAAGGAAGAGAAAAGCCTTATTTCTTTTGCAGTAGCAAGCTACTAGTCTGCCCATCTGCCCACAGACACTCAGTCTTTCTCCCATTTCTGGTTTGGGGTTTTTTATAACTCAGTAAAAAAAAAAAACACCTCATGCCTCAGAAAATTTGATAAAATGTTTTTTGTTTCACAACCAATTGAAGATAATCTTCATTTTGTACATATGGAATAGGCTTAAGAAATCTAGCAACAACTTATGCTTGTCTTCATTTGAAATAAGCTTCTCTCTTGGATCACATATACAACAGGAAGGCAGGTCCTGCGTTTATAAAAATTACGACTATAATAATTCACAAGTCCTTTCATACCTGTTCTGTTCCATCAGGCTTTCATTTTAAAAAAAGCAAATAAAGCAAGATAATTCCTCATCCCTGAACATGATTCAGCAGCGCGTCTTTGCAGCAAAGGCCAACAGCATACTGAGCTACTAGGAAGAGTACAGCCATCTGGACCATGGATGCGATTGCTTCCCTCTACTTAGTACTGTCCAGACCACATTTGGAGTGCAATGTCCAGTTTAGGTTCCCTGGGACAAGAAAGACACTGACATACCGCAGTGGGTCCAGCATAGGGCCACCAGGATGTTTGGGGGCTGGAGCACGACACAGAATGGAGGCTGAGAGTGCTGGGTTCACAGAATCACAGAATCACAGAACAGAATCACAGAATCACTAGGTTGGAAAGGACCTTCAAGATCATCAAGTCCAACCACTAATCCAGCGCCACCATGTCCCCTAAACCATGTCCTGAAGCGCCACATCCACACGTTTCTTGAACACTTCCAGAGATGGCGACTCCACCACCTCCCTGGGCAGCCTGTTCCAATGCCTGACCACTCTCTCAGTGAAGAAATTTTTCCTAATATCCAATCTAAACCTCCCCTGGCGCAACTTGAGGCCATTTCCTCTTGTCCTATCACTAGTTACTTGGGAGAAGAGACCAAAACCCTCGTCTCCACAACCCCCTTTCAGGTAGTTGTAGAGAGCAATAAGGTCTCCCCTCAGCCTCCTCTTCTTCAGACTAAACACCCCAGTTCCCTCAGTCGCTCCCCTTAAGACTTGTGCTCCAGACCCTCACCAGCTTCGTTGCCCTTCTCTGGACATGCTCCAGCACCTCAATGTCCTTCTTGTAGTGAGGGTTTGTCCAGCCTAAAGAATAAAAAGCTCAAAGGAGATCTTAATATTTATCTACTTAGCAGTAGGGCGTAGAGAACAGGCAGCCAGATTCTTCTTGGAGGTGCACAGCAAGGGGAGGAGATGTAACGGACACAAGCTGGAAGATGAAAAATTCCATTTTGGTATCAGGAAAAAAAAAAAAAACCAGCAATAGTGAAGGTGGTCAAACAGGCTGCACAGAGAAGTAATAGAATCTCCATCCTTGGACAATGTTCAAAACTCAACTGGACATGTCCCTGAGAAACCTCATCTACTTGATCCTGCTCCAAACAGCATCACTCAAATTCAAGCTCTAGAGGTCCCTTCCAACCTAAATTATATGATTTCCAAAGATCTGACTCAGAGAACCACGTTCTTTAATTGATATATTACTCAGAGCTTCTGTAGCAGTTCTACAGATCATACTATTTTCAGGACAACAAGAGTTTATAGATGACATGCAACAAATATTATTCTTTTATTTACATCCTACCAGTGCCATAATTTAATTAATTTTTAATTTGTTACAGAATATAAACATTACAGCTTGGGTTCTACCACAGTATGCTTTTCTCTTTTTCATGACAAAGAAGATTTCAAAGCTACCTTGATTATTTAACTATACAGTAAATGAAAACAGAACACTTGACTGTGGTAATACACTCCTGATCCCTAAGTCCTATCTAAAAGACTGGGGAACCAGTGTCACATTTCAAAGAGTCTAAATTAATTTCAAATTTATAAACAAACTCTAAATGAATTCTTTTTAGAAAAACATCATTAGCAATAACTAAAATAAGATCATTCAGGATAATTCGGGTTGGATGGGACCTCAGGAGGTCTCTAATCCAATTGCCTGCACAAAGCAAGGTCAGCTATGAGGTAAGATTCAAGTTGCACAAAGACTTCTCCAGCCAAGTCCTGAAACCCTGCACAGATGGAGAGACAGCAGGGCGTGTCTGTTTCACTGCTTGGGTACCCTCATCAGGAAAAACCTCTCCAACCAGCATTTCTTACTTCAACTTGTGCCTGTTGCCACTTGTCCTCCTGTCACGCACCACTGTGAAGAGCCTGGCTTATCTTCTCCATGATATCCTCATAGGTACTGGCAGACTGCGGTCAGGGACCCCCAAAGCCACCTCTGCTACACGGTGAACAAGCCCAGCTCCCTTAGTCTCTCCTCACAGTGCAAGCACTCCAGTTCCTGGCCATCTTGGTGGACTCCATGAAATCACTCCTAAAGAGTAATGTGTAAAGGGCTATAATTTCTTCCCTCAGTCTCTGTCTCTGCCCCTGTTCATGCAGTCCAGGATGCTTTGGCCTTCTTTGCTGCCAGGGTCACTGCTGGCTCATGCTCAGCTTGCTGCTCACCAACACTCTGGGCCTCTTCCACAGATCAGACGCAGCCAGGCTGTCCCAGCCTGTACTATTGCCAGGAATTCTCCCTTTCCAGGTGCAGCACTTTGCATTCACCCTTCTTGAATTATATAAGGTTCCCACTGGACCATTCCCTCAGCTTCTAGGCCACTCTGAATGTCATCCCTGCCCTTCAGTGTATCAATTGTTCCTCCCAATTTGGTAACACCTGCAAATCTGGTAGGCAAGCATTCTGTCACCTCCTTTAGGTAACTGATAAAGATGTTAAACAGGCGAGGTCCCAGGACAGACCTCTGTAACACTTCTCTCGTTACCAGCCTTCCAGTAGAGCACAACACCTCAATCACTACTCTCTGAGTCTGATCATGAAATGAGGGTTTTTTACCTATCTGGTTGTCCACCAATCCAGACTGTAATCTCCTAATTTGGATTGCTCCACTAATCTTCCTAGAGATCAAAGTGAAGCTAAATTGCCTGTAGTTCCCCAGTTTGGGTTTTTCTGGCCTTTCTGAAAGTGGGTGGAGCATATTATTTCCACCAGCCACTGGTGTTCTTCCCTGATCTTCACAGCCTACCAAAGACAGCAAGCCTTTCAAGGACAATAGCCAGTTCTCTCTGGACCCTTGGATGCAGCCAGTCTGGTCCTTGTAGAGGTTGGACTTGTACAGGTTGAGCTCTCTCAAGTAATCCCAGACTGGATCTTCATCTACTGCTGGTTGTTCTTCTCTTTGAACACTTTCACTAAGCACAGTGGGCTGAGAAAACTCATTGGTGAAACACTGAAGCAAAGAAAGCAATCAGCTTCTCAGCCTTACCTGTGTCAGCTGGCACTAAGTCACCCACCTTACTCAGCACTGAGCCCACCTTTTCCTTGTCAAGCCTTTTAGTACTAATGCAGCAGTAGATGCTCTTGTTGCCTTTGATGTCCCTTGCACGTCTCAACTGCAGTTCAGCTTTGGCCCTCCTGACATTATACCTACATGTACAGGCAATAATTCTAAATTTCTCCTTTGTACCTGCTTCCACCTCCTCTCTGCTACCTTTTGGAGATGAAGCTTTGTCATGAGTTCCCTGCTTGCCAAGCCTGGCTCCTGATTATGTCTGCTTGGCTTTCTAAGCACCAGGATGCGCAGCTACTGTGTATCTTAGTATTCTCATGTCAATGGAGGATACTATCTTCAAAGAACTGCCAGCTTGCTTAAGCTCCTTTACCCTTCAGAGCTGCACCCCATGGTATCCCGCCTCCCAGTTTACTGAATGAGACGAAGTCTGCTTGCCTGCAATCCAGGGTCTATACCCTGCCCCTCTTCTTCCTCAATCCATTCAAGATCTTCACCCCCATTATTTCACAGCTGCTACAGTCAAGGCTGACATTATGTTCTAAAATAGTTCTTCATTGTTAGTCATAACATCATAATTGTAAACTACATGCATTTGCCTCAATAACAGTTAAAATAACTGATATGCACTTTTGCCAAAGCAAACTCAGGGATACACACCAGATCATCAGGACAATCAGCATGCAGACCAGCCACTTGTAAGTAATTGCCTTCAGCTGTAAAATTATACCGAATATGCTCTGGCAAAACATGTTTGTCAATCTTGTTGGGAAGGTGAGTTCCTGTCAGAAACTCATTACATAAATCCAATATTCTGACGTTGAGGTTGACTGCCTTTTTACGCTGTAAGAAAAATAGAGTACAAAATACATAATATGTTCAGACATAGTATAAGCAGAACTCAAACTTTCTAAAACCTAAAGGACCTTTCCAGAAACGAAGCAGGAAATACAACGTGTAAGATTAGACCTGCAACATCAACAAAATTCTAATGCAGAGCTGAAGTCAACAAGATCAGATGCCCATACAGATCTATAATTTCATACAGGATTGAAATTTGAAAGAAAATGCCTATGTTTCTGCAGTAAGTAAATATACAGTGGAGTTCAGGTAGAATTTACATAGCTGCTTGGAAAGCCTTTACAAAGCTATGCCTAATATGATTGCTATGTAAAACACAGAGGAGAAAAAAAGAAGCATCACTGAAACGGATAAATCCCACTAGCATCCTGAAATAGATATAGAATTACAGTTCTCTTGTTACTGTTTGTATTGCATTATTTTCTGGAGACCACAAGGCATTTATGGTATTTCAACCTTTCCCTCAGGAGTTTGTGATTTAGGGTTTTATCACCATCGTTACAATATTTCACACGTTTAACCTTACTGTAAGATTTGCTTCAGTGAACTTGCTCATGTTAGTAGAGTATGCTCTCTATTGTCTGTGGGTTCATAGCTCAAAAGAAAAGGCTGAGGGAACAGATACAACATACTTATGAAGTCCAAAGAATGACCGAACGTACAGATCTGTGTCCTCCCATTCCACCTTTACCCTTTAAAACACATCTGTTTGAATTTTATTTTAAAAAGCAGACATTCTTTGTAGCAGAAGTAAATTTCAACTTACGATAGCGAAGGATTTCTAAAGTTTGAAATGAGAACTGAAAAGAAACACTGAGCAGCAAGCAACAGAAGAGAAGTGGAATAGGCAGGGGAGGAAGAGGAAAACATACAAAAATAAGGGGCAAGTGAAATTGTAACCAAAAGGGGATGAGCACCACAGAACCAATAGTCAAAACAGAAATAAGACCCAAAGTCCAAGTTTCAGAGTTGTTCTTTGTACAAAGTAATTGTAAAAATATATTCCAGAAGCATTTTCCAGGTCACAAAACATCATCACAACCATGATCTTCAGAGTAATTTTACCACATGAATCTGGTAAAAGAGCTTTGTACAGATCTTTTTGGAGGGGATGACCCAAATAAACATGGTATTAACTTTATACAGGGACATAAGCTATGAACAGACATCCAACAGAGCATCCATACCACAAAGCATGGTGAAAGCCGACGTTTTTGGCAAACCCATCACTAACTACTGCAAAAGGATGTAAAATCTCCATGAGATGTAATCAGACCATGCATAGACATTCAGTTGTGCACAGAATTTACAGCTTCTGGTTATGTGAGCACCAAAGGAGAGCCTGCCCTTCTAAAACACTCTACTTGATTAACCTGTCATCACAGTGCCATGGGATGCTGCTTTCCTCCCCTCTGTAAATAACTTGTTCAGACAGTTAAGCACTTATTTTCAATATCTGTTGCAGACACCAATCAAAGGAAGCAGGATCCCAGGTCTTGCTTATAACTCTTCAGAGCAGGCAAAGGAATGTTGGAAAACTGGGAAGAACAACCAACTAATATCTAAAACAAAATTATAAAAACACACCTTAGAAGTGATTTAAATAGACAAAATTAACCACTTCTGAGAAGATAAAATTCCACAGAGGACAATGGGAATCTTGGAGGACAAACTGGCCCAGAATCATGTGATTCATGTCCCACATGTTTCATTGGTCTTTGGTAGTCAGGCAAATTTCTGTTCATATATTGTAGCCAAAAATTACCTTTTCTTCATCCAAATGAATGCCACTGATCTCAAAATCAAACATAAAAAGTTCTGCCACTCGCCTAAAAATACAGTAAATCCCCGTTAAAACAGCATCATTTGATAGCAAGCATAATTTCTCAACAGATTTCAGCCTTAGTAGTTTTTTAGGTTTGATGTCTTTCACAGAGAATAACAACACAGTTATACGAGTATTGTTATTATGGACATAGACTCCCTATGTTTTAGGTCCTTAACAGTCTACTCAGTGAAATAGGGTTTTTCCTTTGTAGTTATTTTATTCATCTGCATTGAAAATGTCCTTCAAAATAATTCCCCTACATTAATCTAGATGTTTAACCATTTGTGAAAATTCCCATTTTAATTTGACACTTTATTTATTCCAACAGATCAGAAAAAGACCTCTTCAAATTGGGAAAGAAGGAAGAAGGAAGTAACTTATTCAAAAAATTAAGCTTGTCTAACCGTGTCAGCAAAGAAATAATTCAAAACTAAGTTGAATAAGCAACTAATAAAGCATTTTACAGCAATCATAAAGTAAGCTTTAAATAAATATACTGAAAAGCTTATTTTGAAAGATATATTTCAGTTTATAGAAACTTATCTAAAGTTATATAGTCTGTTCCCTACTTTTATTGCTAAAAACACTGATTTGTACGCCCCAGTACAGTACCTGATTTTAATCAAAAAGGTGTAATTGAAGAAAATATTAAGTTCTCATTTTTTTTTGCTTTCACAGATCTCAGTTACTCAGCTTAAATATATCTTGTGCTCTACAGTCAAAGACACATCCTCCAAGACTACAGAACTACAAACTTCCCAACACCTGTGCAGGTAATTTAGTAGTGACTAATAAATTAGTAACAGATGCGGTATGTTTTCCAGTTGTATTAACTAATTTAACAAAACACAAAATATAAGCACAAAGGAATAATACATTTTATCTAAAAATCTGAATCTGTAAGCATTAATAAGTACCTGGTTTCTGGATCTAGAGAACTCATAACAACTTCATCAGCTAGCAGACGTCTCAAACTCTGACACAGTTCAACATCTGTATTTAATCTGGAAAGAGACAGAGTAAAAGAATTGTGCATTAGGAAAAAGCACTAATATTTCAGTCTCTTGGTACTACTTATTCAAAGGTAGAGCTTAACATTTACTGAAACAACATTAAAAAACAAGGACTGTATTTTCAAAATGCCTTCTGATTCCCAACCACACTTAAAAACTGCAAAATTTTTATACAAAGGATGTGTGGACAAACCGGCATGGAAACATGTCTTGTGTATCCAATGATACATTTATGCACTTTCTGGAGGGTTATTGCTTACATGATTAGTTTAACTCTTGTACAGATTTCTTTAGCCTAATAACTGTGTGATTATGTCTAACAGCCTACTCTCATAGTTCTTAGGCTATACTTGCCTCAATGCTAACCAAGAGGCCTCATGAAATCAAAACAAAGAAGAGTTAAAGGCAAGGACTGAGAAATTAATGAGTACAGGGAAGATATCTTAACCTTGAGAATAGAAACATCCTAGCAGGAGTGCTCAAACAAGGATGATAAGAAAGAATTGCTTGGCTGTACAACAGAAGGGGCAAACATCCAAGGAGAAGAAACTATCCTCAAGAGACCTGAGACCATAGAAGGGAAAAAGGAGTAGGAGGCTACCTCCCCAAATGACCACCGGCAACCACCCGAGATCCCTGCGCATGCGTAGTGTAGTTTTGCAACGCCAGCATTATGTAAATGTAGTAGATAGGCAGGGAGGTGGGAGGTAGAGATTTCTCAGAAAATGTGTGAATATTCATGTCTTATATCTTAAGATATATAAAGGATGAACTTTTGTTTCAGGGTATGCACGTTATGTGGAGCGATCCCCCATGCATTCAGCACTGCAATAAAGAATGCCTGCCTTCTAAAACTTCAAACTAAGTGTTGGAGGATTTTTTTGCTGACTTTTTTGATAACATCAACAAGAAAATACTTCTGGATGGCATTTTGTGGCAAATAAGAGCAAGTCTAAGACTGACAGCTTATTTTTATGCACAAAGATAATCATGGCAAGAGCATAAGGTAGGAGAACTGTTTTCTAATCCTTATTTTGAAAGGACTTCAACTCCATTAAAGGAAAATCTCTGCTCAAGTTTGCCATCAGGTAAATGTGCTGCTGGCTGCCACTGAAGTAGACCAAGAGCATCCCCAGAACATTTCCAGATGCTCGTTACTGTCACTGTGCCAGACAATACTATGTCCATCAAATTTCCTGGCATGTTAACTACAAGCATGTATGTCAACCTGGATTATTGGGTGGGAATCACAGTGGGGAATTAAATACACACTTATACATCAGCACAGCTGCTGTGGACAGCAGCCCCCAGTCTGAGAGTCTTGAGCACTACTTAAATCAGCTGAGGTGCAGGAAGCCTCTGCAGGCCCATGTGTAAAATGAATTTAGTAATTACCAGCACCAGTTCAGAGACAGAAGACAACATTGCATCATGCCTGTACTTCAGAAAAGGCTCTGTACAGAAGGTGCTAAATAAGAAGTCCAACACTGTCAAAACGTGTCTAAAAGCAGATACCTATTGCTTGTAGCTCCTGAGGTATACCATTTGCCCATGAAAATGAACAATCAACAATAGCTAGTTTTGAGCATTTACAATAGTTTATGAACCTCTCAGGTTAATTTGTGAATACTGTCTTCTTTCTACAAATTTTAAATCTGAAGTGGTATTGAGATATTAAAGTCATGTTGTTTTAGATGGTGTGCTCAGCCTAGGTCTTGACAGTCTAGTTTCAAGTGAAAGAGTTCCCAAACATGCTGGTGAGACCAAAGCACCAATTTCTACTGAATTTAATTTTAGAATTTGCTTTTTAGCCAGCCATGTTAGTCACAAGGCTTACTAAACAAACTGATACACTGCTGTCCTCCTCAGAGTGCAAACGGCTTCACTGCCTCCACTGTTACTAGGAATCCCAACAGAAGCAGCAGACTCTGGGTCACCTTCACAGTACTGCTTGGTAAAGCTTTCACTTAAGAAGGCTACTCCTGAATGCCACAGGAAGAGAAGATACTGAAAGGGCACTGTATTTGGAGATTAAGGATCGCCACTTTCCACCTTCTCAGCAGCAAGAGCAGAAGAGAAGCAAATCAATTCACTGTTGTCAAGGGTCACAAGAGGTAACTTTCAGGACTTGGGTTTTAAGATATTAAAAAAAAAAAAAAAAAGAGCCAAACTTCAGAAACATAGGTCTTTAAGAATATGTTCCATGAAATGGAGTTTTAAATGCATAAGCATGCCAGGGTAGACCAGGCATATATCACAGCCCTAGAGAGACACATTCTCAAACACTCATTCTAATGGGAGACTGTCCCTTCCTCTTTCACATATCCCATTCATTGGCTGAAATTCGAGGTGTCAGCAAACCAGGAGAAAAAGTGTTGTGAAATATAGAATCATTTAGAATCACAGAATCATTTAGGATGGAAAAGACCTTTAAGATCATCAAGTCCAACTGTTGACATCTTATAGAACAGCTTAAACCTTAAAAACAAATTAGCATTTTGTACATATGCTTTACAACAGCTAGTTAACTGTCACAAGTCCTAGAAAAATGTAGCTTTGAGTCTTTGATGGGTTTCAGTGACATGGAGTCAGCTGATAACTTAAAAACTGTTCAGAAATAAATTGAAACTAAAACAGAATGACCTTCCCTGAGATACTGTAACAAAACTAAATCATAGAATCACAGAATAGTTTGGGTTAAAAAGGGACCTTTAAACGTCATCTAGTCCAACCCCCTCTTCAACTAAAACAGGTTGCTCAGAGCCCTGTCCAACCTGACCTTGAATGTTGCCAGGTCTTTTCCAACCTTAATGATTCTGTGATTCTGTGTGATCTATCATGTCTCTAGGCAACCTGTGCCAGTGTTTCAACACCCTCATTGTCAAAAATTTCTTCCTTATACATAGTCTGAATCTACCCTCTTCTAGTTTAAAACCACTACCCCTTGTCCTGTCACAACAGGCCCTTCTAAAAAGTCTGTCCCCATCTTTCTTATAAGCCCCCTTTAAGTACTAGAAGGCTGCAACAAGGTCTGCCCCCCTGCCCCCCAGAGCCTTCTCTTCTCCAGGCTGAACAACCCCAACTCTCTGCAAGACTGACACTTTTTTCTGACGTGCAAATGCTTCCTACATATTTTTTTGTGGATTGCTGTTTTCATAGATGATCATACAGTAATTTTTAAATATGCGTATTGAAATAGCGGTGAAAAAAAACAGAAAGCATACTTCTCAACCACGGTACCAATGTTCCTGCAAGCTTCTTCAGCAGCCTCTCTGAATGCAAAGTCAGGATGGGCGATTTTCACAAAGTCAGCCTGAAACAGTAGAATAAAAAAACAGCGAGGCAAAAAGACAAATTAAAACAAAATCTGGAATTATAAACAAATTTGCACTCAAGTAGTTTCACTTATACTAAGATTTATTCCTACAGTTTTGTGAAATCTATTTGCTGAACTTTTTTTCTGTTCTAAAAAATAAAGCTTATTGGAAAACTGCAGACAACTATTAAACCAGACAGTAAATGTGTCTTTCCAAAAAAATATCTTTAATCCATATACTTCTTAAAAACATTTTTAGTATGGTGTGTATCTTAGAGTCCTTACAACATAGAGATACTCCAATGTATTTAAACGTTATTACAAAAGATTTTTAAAACTAAAATTCACACATAAGAAGAAAGCACGCTACCAAATGTGTGTAGAGGGTTTTTTTTCAAACCCTTTGTACCCTTGTGTATAGGCTATCAAGTTACGATTTGACATCATTACCTAGTAGGAAGAAATATGTTTAAAGAGAAAATCCAGTTGGATTCAGAATAGGGTTTTTACTTGACTTACTGATTTTTAGTAAGTCTCCAAACACTTAACGGACCTCCTCGCAGCTGATGGAGAGCAACTGATTCCAAGGGGCAAAAGGATTCTTGCTCATGAGCTGGCAGGCCTCATTGAGAGGGCTTTAAACTAGATTTGGAGGGGGGAGGGGATAAAACCAGCTCACTAAAGTTGAACCTAGGGGTGGCGTGCCAGCGTTGAAATCAATAGCCCAGCCCAGGTGCATCTACACCAATGCACGCAGCATGGGCACCAAACAGGAGGAGCTGGAAGCCATTGTACAGTGGGACAGCTATGATGTAGCCACCATCACAGAAACATGGTGGGATGCTTCTCAT